GATTAACTTGTAATGGACAAGACCACTCGACCAAAAGAAACGACGGGCTTTGGGGATGAGAATGCTGAGGAGACTTAAAAAAAAAAGTCTGCGAGTGGGGCTACCCATTCGCAGACCATAGTTTATTTCAAAACTAATCCCCGTTTTTTCGTTAATTTATTGTAGGTTTTATGCAGCTGGCTCCTTTTCTTCCTTTTCTCCTCTTTGATAACTGTCCTAAAATACCTGCTTTTCTGTTGATATTTGCAGTGTAGTTTAATATCTTTTTGTCCACTATATTGCCAGCGGTGTCCACTCTTAATGCATAAAGCTGATCTGGCAGATTGTCGCTGTCCACGTCAAAGTCCCAGGTCACAAGATATTGATTACGACGCGGATTATACGCAGCGCTGTGATGTAAGACCTTGCCTTGCAGTCTTAGGAACCCTGGGACAAGTTGAAAGAGAGTCCCTGACTTTGAAAAGATCCTATGAAAATTGCCTGTGGATGTAACATAAACATTGAGGTTAATTCTAGCAGTGACTTTTACAGTTTAGGATTTTAAGGCACCCTGCTAATAAAGACTCCTTTGAATCTGCCGGAATCGTGTCAACCCTTCTGGACTAGTCAATCTTGTTAGAGCGATATTCGTTTGACCTTAAACAAACGATCGGTAATAATGCGATTTGATTGGTTTGTCGAAAGGATACAAACGCTCGTGGCGGGTTTGTTTGTTAAGCGAACGCTCGGCTGAATAGGCTTCATGCGCGAGAACTTTCTAGAAATCAACCGATACTTCGCTTTAACGTTATACTGAACACGATTGGCCAATCGAACAATGCCGTCTCCATATTAGGGTTTTCTTTGGTGGGAAAACGAAGAGTCCGTGTTTAATAGATCTTTTCATGCATTGGCCGATAAAACAAATAACGAACATAGGCTCCTGCGAACACTAAACGAATATTTTTCAAGGTCATACAAAAATCGCTCTATGTATCGTCAAACTAGTTTTCCGAGTGCGATCATCCGTTTTATTGATAAACTGACGGTCTTCTCTGAGCCCACTGTACCAAGCGCACGGCTGTTAGGCCTGGGTTTCACACTGTATCCTAGCAACAAGCAGCGCATGCTCAACTAGATTCATATCGAGTCTTTGTCGAGCAAGTGAAAGAAAAGCTCGGCTAGCAGGATGGATTGAAGGTTGCGCATGCGCTTGGGTTGGTCTGTGTTATGTCCAGTTGCAACGTGAGAATGTTTCGAGGGATGAATCTGGACCCAGTTTTCTGCAAAAGTTTGTAAAGGTCAATTCACTCTAGGCGATAAGTTGCAGCAACCTGTCGTGGCGACACGTCGCAGCGACAAATCGGTTCATGTGTACTGAAGAATTTCTGTGAAAATCTTTGTCTCCTCAACAGAATTTTGTCGCAGCAGCATGTCGCGAAAAATCAAATCAGAGAATCTGTGCAACTTGATGCGGCAACAAAATTCTGTTGCAGAGACAAAGATTTTCACAAAAATTCCTCAGTACACACGAAGCGATTTGTCGCTGCGACGTGTCGCCGCAACGTGTCGCTGCAACTACAAATTGTAGTCGCCCGACCTTAATAGCCACTGAAGGAACGAATAGCGTACCCAAAGCAGTCCCACAACGGAATCCGACAACGCGCCGAACCAGTCTCCCTCAAAACCGATAGAGCACAGTATATAAAGGCTACCCCTAGACTGAAGACCATGAAGAGGTAAAATTGGGACTCGTACTCGCCTATTTTGGAGACGGCAAAAGGGGATTTGGGTAATTAGGACTATGATTTCTTGCAACTGGTTGTGGGGTTTGAGAGCAACTTAATGGGACACTGGTATCTGAAAACAATTTTAATAGGCTGGGAAAATGAGATTTGTATCCCTTCTCGCCTTATTTGTCAGTCTCGTTACTCCGTCTGCTCCCAACTTAAACACCGTCACCTAAACAACTCTCCCTGGAAACTAAAAAGTAGTTCTTTTCTTCACCTTGTGTAACGACAAAAATTTGCATGGTCAGGAATTGTCCGTATTGCTTCGTCAAAGTACCAAGACTGTATGTACATGTATGTTTCCGATCGATTTCCGCCTTTTACTCGGGATTGAATTCGGAGAAGCAACTTGGGCGCATTTCACGAGCGGCGACAAGCTGTGTTTGAAGTGAATAATAATCGGTTAACGGTTTTGCTTCGGAATATTTCTTACAATTTGTCGCTGTTTTGTGCCATGTAATAGCCAGACAGCTTTATAAGAAGGGGACACGCCTTTTGTCATGTGATCACAAGGAGTGACACAGGAACACAAATTTGCTGACTAGACTGTGATGAAACCTCACCAGGAGCCCTAACCTCACTCGTTTCAAGTCGTCTCTTAGTCAAGGGGAGCGCGAGGGGTGATGGGAAGGGGGAAGGAGGGGAGACTCTCCCTTTCGCTTTGTTTCTTCCCATCACCCTTCCCGCTCTTTTCGTTCACGCTTCTCGCTTTGCGTCCCCCACGTGCGATCCAAATAGAAGCGATTGTGTGACCAGAAGGCGTGACACGAACACTATTTTTCAAAGAAAGGAACGTCATACACAGCGAACAAAACTTTTAAAGTCATACCATCTTTGCGTCCACTATCTTCCCTTCCTGCCCATTACCATTGACCACTGTCACAGCGTAGTACCAGTTTGTGTTCGGTGTCGGATATAGATCCTTGTAGCTGTTTGTTTCCCGGCTCTGTAACAACTTGTCTAGCTTTCCAGATACGTAAGGCCTCATTCCGTTTACATCACGAAAATACGATGTGCTTCGGTAAATGTTAAAATGCTTGAATTCCTCATTTGTTGAGCGTCTGTTTGGACTGATATTGAAAAGATAGTTGGCAATATGATAACAATATCGACTGGTGACTAATTTTCCATTTAATCAAAAGCTTCAGAATCCTTCCTTACCTTTTTCTAATCCTGTTTGCACTGACTAAGCCGAGACAATTCAATTGAGTCTGTGGATAAATTCCTTTGGTGTCACTATTCAAATGAAAGCAACTGAGCAGTACTTTCCTGTTGTACTGTTTATTATGCTGTACAAAGTGGTTCTAGCTTTTGGGTCTGTGGATGAAATCCTATGGTGTTACCATTCAAATGAAGGCTGCTGAGCAATGCTTCCTTGTGGTACTGTTTATTCTGTTTTTATACATGATTGTTCAACTTTTCAATTTCCGAGAGAAAGATACTGTTTAGGGCTCTCTTATGGTTTTGTCAAGTACTTTGACAAAAGCTGAATCCTCTATCCTACAACCAAAACGTTCAGTTATACCTGTAAGGCAACTGCAGGCTTTTCCACTCCAGTAGGATTCCGTCACATTCTTGTCTGACCGTGAGACCCTGGATCTGATTTGATTGACCAACCGCTAGAACTTGACGTCGCACTCGAGCCACAGTGTGGCCTGAGATATCACGTTTAAATAGAGACACTTCTTGCTCCTGAGTTACTGAAAGGTTAAACAATTGACGTCAATTTTTATCAAAAATCGTAGGTTTGTACTATCATCAAACTTTTCGGAATTAATGTCTCAGAAGAAAGAAAAACTGAAGAAATTCGTAACAAACACAATCGATAAAATAAAGCTTGAGGATGCTGAAGTATTTCCGCCTGTTGTTGATAACCACAAACACGTCAGTTTTCGCAGGCTCCTCCTTCTCCTCTTGACGTGTACGAATAGACCTTTTGAGCTTCTATGTTTTGTTTCCCCCAGTAGACGTCCCAGGGGAATTTGACCCTTAGTGTTTCACAAATTATGCGTACATATGCAAAAGCGAGCTTTGGGTCCAGTCCCCCTCGTAGCCATTCTTGTAGCGACACGTAACGCACGTTGCGTGACCATGACAAGACAAAGAAGGGCTGATTAGGAAATTGCCCTTGTACTCACCAGTGTGAATTGGATTCGAATCGCCAAGCTTTATAGGTAGGTCGTCATTAACGTCACTGATGACTNTGAGATATCACGTTTAAATAGAGACACTTCTTGCTCCTGAGTTACTGAAAGGTTAAACAATTGACGTCAATTTTTATCAAAAATCGTAGGTTTGTACTATCATCAAACTTTTCGGAATTAATGTCTCAGAAGAAAGAAAAACTGAAGAAAATCGTGACAAACACAATCGATAAAATATAGCCTGAGGATGCTGAAGTATTTCCGCCTGTTGCTGATAACCACAAACACGTCAGTTTTCGCAGGCTTCTCCCACTCCTCTTGACCTATACGAATAGACCTTTTAAGCTTCTATGCCTGTTTC